TTAATCGGGGTTGAGAAGAAGAACTAGACAGATAGGAAGCATGGTTTTCCAAATAAATGTCTAAGTTTGTGCATAGTGTTCCCAAAGTGACCATCCAGTGAATCCTTTGTGGACACAATCGAAGGCTGTTTAGTTCAGTTCAGTTTAGCTTTTGCAAACACCGTCTATGCACTTTTGTGCGACAGTTTCGTTTTCTGTCTCATGACCGCTTCGGAAAGCCTCCCTCCGTATACTCGTCATCGCCCACCCTTCGTTTACACATCACGAAATGCCTCGATTTAACCGAGCATCTCAAACAGCCTCGGCTGAGGGACCCCCATTCACAGCCATCATGCGGTTGGTGTTTTCCCCCACCAAAGTCAGAGGACGAAAAACCAACATTCGGGGCTATAAACTCCCGGCAGTTTACCTGAGGGAGTAAGTAAAACAATTCCGATTTCAAACCAACCAAGACGAGGTGTACAAACTATGCCCATAAATTCCTGGTGGTAGTAATAGTAGTAGTAGTAACCACGCCAACGGTAGCTTACTGCTATGTGGTCGATTTCAGTTAGCGTACCAGTTGAACTGGAGCGCCACGCTGCCGTCCGTTAAGAGTTGAGCTGGAAGCTGGCGTTTGATAGGAACAGATGATGGTCTGTGCAGAACTGAAGAAGTCGATCGCCGGTATGTGTTCATTGGCAGGACAGAGCACAATTACCGCCTAGGCAAGCTTCTGATGCGCTCAGTTTTTCAACCTGCGCGTTAAGTCGCCTGCAAGTACAACTATGTTGAAGCTTCGACTCCTTCGAATGAGATCGGTGAGTTCATCGTAGAAAGCGTCCTTTTGTGTATCGGAACATCAATTGGTCGGTGCGTATGTTGATACGATTAACATTTACCTTTTGATGTTTCTTCCATTCCGGATGCTGATCGAACCATGGAGCGATTTCACGGGGATCCAATCGATCCAATCAGGGAACTCAGCCCTGCTACTGAGTCCAATACCTACCCCGTGCTGCTCTACTGAACGGGTTTCATTGTCGCCTGATGTGCGAAGAACGTACCTCGAGGAACAGATCTGGCGCGCTTAAGCGGCTTAGAGTAAGTAGTAGGATCCTGAATTGGAGTCTCCGACACGCAGCAATTATGGATCCCTAAGGATTCCATCGTACGCGTCAGACAAGCTTATTGACCAACCTGCGGTAGAGTCCTCACCTTGAAAGCCCCCAGATTCAGTGATTGACAAGGCTTTAGAATCTGCAATCCATTTCGTGGTACTTTATTTACAGTGCTATTTAGCAACTGCCTTTGGTGAGCGACATCCAACTTGCTTGAGGATCTATTACAGGTCGGAAGGGGGAAGTGGAGAGGGCTGGGTACGGAAGACAAAGATTTAAACAAAGGTTGGTATATCTGAGCAGTAGCCCACTTATCACTACCCACCCCGATCGATGCAATGGACAGTGCGGTCCTGATTATCCTGTGCGACAACCGATGCAGTTTGTGTATGCATTGTGGTTTGATGTCCAGCCACTAAGCAGGAGAACGATTAGGGTTTTCAACCAAAGACTTCAGTTCTGACAACAACCTAAAGCAGTGGGTGAAGCGGAGTGGAGGTCCATTTACTTGGATCGATTACTTTCCCACCATTTTTTACCGACTGAAAGACCAATTCTAGTCGAACCCACAACCTGGAGGACCAGGAGACTGGACTTTGTCTGACCTCTACCCATTGACGTTTCAGGCATGATTAGATCGCCTGGCCATCCTGTGTAGTTTGTTGGGTCAGAGAGATGCACAAGCCATCGCACCATGTCAAGATGCAGTCTCGTCTCTCTCTCTCTCTCTGTCTACTTAAGACACCATAATTTTTCACACGAACTATTCAAATCAACACAGTGAATAAGCCTTGGTAAAGAACGACAGCGTCATAAAAAATCAGTTGTATATTAGCTAGGCGCAAAATGGTAAACAAACATCAGGAAAGCTGTTGGTAACAGATGCCTGCAGAATACTGTAAGGAACAACTGAAAATTGGCCTCCGAAGCGGAGCGCTCTAATTGCCTTTCAAGTAAACCACGCAGCGAAGGATTCAATGAACACTGGAAGCTAATGAAAGAAGCTGCTCAAATGTCGATCAGAACGAGGATGGAACCTGGAACGTGATAAAAATATAAACAATGAACCTTCGGGGCTGTTGCTGTTGCTTGGATGGACGCTCACAGAACCATTTTCTTGGATGCTGAGCGCGGTTCTACGGTTGTGAATTTCTCAAGATAATTCGTCTGCCTTGGTCTGGCAGTATTTCCCCCGTAATCAACTCATCGCACTTTCTCTTCTTATCGTACTAGTTCCTTCTAACTTTTCAAAGAAATTGCCTAGAGAAACTGCAAGATAACTACTTGTATAAACCGAATTGAACTGAACGGTAGTAGCAACCAGATGAATCACGTCATATAGTTGAACAATTTGATAAAGCGATGAAATATGGAGTTCTCGTCAGATCGTCCCATGTTGAGTCTAGCTAGTAAACAGAATGCTCACTTTCGTCTAATCCCAATGTGGCATTCTCATCGGGGCTAAGCATGGAGCGTTCGTTGGGCACGGAACCCGTTGGGGCTTGCACAGCGGATGGTGAAGTCGTACCGGATGTGATCGAGCCAATCGCTTGCCGATAGAGTCGTTGATACAGATGTAATCGATCGACCAACCATTCCTTGAATCGAAGCAAGCAGAGCCAGGTCGGATCGTAGTTCACTTCCAGTTGATTCAGATAGCTAGAGGGTGAAAATACACACACACATATATATATATATATATATATATACACATATAATTTGCAAATGCCCAGACCATAACGAGGGATCATGGTTGGCACTGTAACAAAGAACTGCAACGAAGCGATTCCCACTGACCACTGTCATGGTCACAAAGTGCACGAATTAGCCACGTGGATGGGCCTCGACAAACACGCTGTTGCCAGTGAGTATATAACCATTTTTAATTTTAATAATAAATCATTGACGATTGCGGGAAGCCAATTTTATTCTGATAGCCAATGGGACTTAACAAACTGCGCGTCAGCGCATCCTTGATTCGGATCGGTCCATCAACGTCGAGAATAGAATTCCCGGTGTCGGTTCACAAAATCAGACCCTCGGATGGAAGAGAGAAACGGGAAACCAAATCTGATGATGATGACTCAGTCAGAGAATTTCGGGAAACTGAGCAATTCGAAGATGATTAGGGTGATTGTAGGGTGCACATTACCATCCGTCACCCCCTGCTGGTTTGCTTATTCTTGGTTCAGGCTAAAACCGCACATTTCTAAATATTTTAGATATATACTTTAATGTGCATTTTTGTGAAATAAAAAATGTATTTTTGCTTGATTTGTTTTAATTTGTGATTTTGAAACATGTCGGACGGTTCTCACATGTACCGTATGCTGCACCAATGTATGACTGGAACCTTATAAAAGGATACTTTCAACGAGTGGTGAACCGCTCTGCAGAAGTTCTAGTGCCGATTATCCGACGGTGAATACAGCCGGGAAGCACAATATATACTGATCAGTAGTCCGCATATTTATCTTTGTGTTCCCTTGGTCATATTCACGCGTGTTAACCACACTGACGGTATTGTTAACCCTATTACCGGTGTGCACACGAATAATGACGAATCATTTTGGAGTCACATCAAACGACGATTGACAATCGTTACCCGGTCTGTCGGTGATGTTACATCGGAACATTTGGATGAGTTGCAATATAGAGT